CAGTTGGACCAGACCTGTCCATAAACTAGTGTATCCTGTGTCCTGGTCTTTATTAATGTTTAGTTATAAAATGCACTTACTGTGTTTGACCACTGTGAGGGTGAATTCTTTAATAGCTACTTTGGGTCAGACTTCTACATTAGAATTTCTTTTTATCTTTTTCCTGAAGCTTTAACTATTTCTTAGATGATATTTATTGGAATTTAGCAATGTGGATATTGTTGATGGCCATAAAGCATGTTCAGTGGCATTGTGGGGACAGAGGTGCATTTAGGGTGGATTTTAAGAGAACAGGAGTCAGTAGAAAAAGCATGTGTATACCAGTGGCCTTCAAACTAGGGCACACAAAGACTTTCCAAGGGACCAATTTTCAGGTCCTCAGTTTCATATGAACTCTTTCCTAAAATTGTGTTTTTCTAAAAACACTCTTCCCAAGAGCGGGCCTGTGTATGGGTACAGCTTCCCCTTTCCCATGTCAGCTTTCACAGTCACTCCTTTTCCCTTTCTTACAAAAGAAGGCGTACATCTCTTTGTATAACAACAGGATGTTGCCCAGGATGTAAAATGTCCAGGGATGACAAGCAGAGGGGACAATTCACAACACTGAACAATGAATTGAAAAAGCAGAAACTGTTGACTGCATCCAGGACCCAACAGTGCCTGCTCGGAAGAGTCTCCCCAATCCGGACATTCAAAGTTATTTTGAACATTGGGTGTTTTCATAGTCTTTCCTTTCAACCAAATTGAAGATGACAGATAACAATGTAATGACAGTACAAGAATCATTTGGGACATTAATTTAAGAGTCCAAAGAAATGACTGATATTGCTGTATCAATTTCTTATACTTCTACTTAGTAATGTGAACAAGTTTCTTATCACATAAAAATGAAAAATTGGAATGTAAACTGATGCTGAGCCCAGCATTCTGAGCAGTAAGCTATGCTTAAAAACATAAGCCAATCAGGAAAATTCCTGGTGATCCGGTGGTTAGGACTCCAAGCTTTCACTGCCGAGGGACCAGGTTTCTTCCCTGGTTATGGAACTAAGATCCCACAAACCATGCGGCCAAAAAAAGACAAAAAATAAAAGAGAGAAAATATGTAAGCCAATCAAAAAAAAAATCTACTAGCTTCATTAAGATAGGATTTCCAGGATTTCTCTGGTGATCTAGTGGCTAAGATTCCCAAAGCAGGGGTTCTGGGTTTGATCCCTGGTCAGGGAACTACATCCAACATGCCCCAACTAAGTTTGCATGCCACAACTAAAGATCCCGCATGCCTCAACTAAGACCTGGTGCAGCCAAATAAATACTTTTTTAAAAAAAGATAGCATTTCTAATAAAATTTTACTTCAGTGTGATTTTGCTCTGTTATGTTTTAATAATTACAATGAACCCATGAAACACTGTTTAACTTTTAGAGGCTTCTGGTCACAGGAAAACTGTACACATTTTAATTTCATATACTGTTTTTCAAAGAAGTATGATAGGTAATCAATAAAAAACTTTGAAGTAAAAGATATATTACATTAGGGTAAATTTCTATGAGGGAAGTAAATTAGAACTAGGAGTTAACAAGAATAATGAATAATTATTTTAAAAATTAATAATTGATTTTAAATAAAATTTGTGTGCTAAAGGTGAGCTTTTTAAATTGTTTTTGTTTTTTTAGTGAATGATGAGTATCATATTTAGATGTACTGAATATATTTTAAAGAATGATGTGGCAGTGTTAAAACACCAATACATACAATATTCTGGAAATTACAGCCTTTCCAACTATATAAAGAGCATGAAAAAATTTAAATGTTAAACTAAAAATGTTTGCCAAGGAGAAACTAAAAACCAAAAAGCTATGTGCCAAGGGGGTACATAGCTTTGCCAAATCTCCCAGGGCAGGCAAAAAACAAACCAAAAAAAGAAAAACTTTGAAGACCACTGCTAAGGAAAAATTCAAGTTTTGCTGTGAAGGAGAATGGCAAAATGGAATAGTGGCTGAAGGATAAATGTTGAGTCAAGAGGAATGACTTAAAGTATGAGTTGAGACATGTTTTGAAGCTGATGGGTGTAGACAGAGGGGAAATTCTCTAACCTCTGGTTTCAACCTCAGAATTAAACTGACATTTGGATGAGCAGGAGAAAAGCATACAAGTTTTGTTAAATTTTTACATGCACATGAGCCCTTTACAAGAGACTGAAGATATGAAGAAGTGACCAGATTAGAAAGCTTTTATACCTTTTAGACAAAGACACAATAAACTTGTGAAGAAATGACAAAGAGGTTTGAGCTGGTATAGTAAATTATAGGAAAGTGGCTATGACATGTATGGGAGCAGGTTGAAATAGATGAACTATTTTATTTAGTAAGTTTGTTTGTAGAGATCCATTTCAGCATTGATTCCCAGTCTATGGTGATAAGGGTTTTCTTCTCTTCCTGGTACACGGATAACACCTTTCTCTTGGGAAATTTTATGGCCTGGTTTTAGGTAGAAAAAAAGGAGGTCAAAGAGCTCTTCCTGCATCTGCCATTTCTTAAGTGCCTTCAGCTCAAAATAATATACCAAAAAGGTGTATTTGGGGGTGTCATATCCTGATAGAGCTGATGTAGGAGAGGGGAGTGGCATTCTTGGCAAGGTGACAGTCCAAAGGATCCAGGCAGAAACAAAGTCAATTTCGGTGCAGGAGGCAAGGAAAAGGTGGCTGCAGGTATAGGTAAATCATATTTATATGATATAAATAAATATATTTATATATTATATGATATGTATATCATATATATATTATATATATAAATAAAATGAAAGGATTTTTTTTTCAGTAAACAATGGAGTGGGATGGGGGCATTAGTGAGGGGTGGATGTTGTGAGAGTTTAGGAGATGTTGAGAAGTAGGTGATAGATACACTACATGTAAGTATAAGCTTATCTGAAATCTACATAGCCTAGATAAAGGTCCAAACATGTCTGATGGTCTAGGGAAAACTTATGTTTTTGCTTTATGGAAGGGAACTCTAGTGATCTATCACTCAAGGAATTCTTGCTGAGAGAGAAAACATTAAAATTTAAAATTTTCTTATTATCCAATCCCATATAAATATTATTGCAGTTTTCAGTCATATTTCAACAGTTTGAAACCTCACAAATCTCAAAAAGTCCTTGATATTTGATATATGTCACCTCTGACTCTGAAAAACTATGTTAGAATACCAGAGAATCATTACTGATATTTTTTAGATATTTTCACACATTTTAAGTCAAATTTGGGGAAAAAAATATGGTAGTCATATAAGTCAAATAGTGATAAAGGTCCTTGTTATACCAGAAGTGAATACAGAATTTTTATTATAAAACTCTGCTAAAAGTATTTTGTTACTAGAATCAAATTGGTTTTCTTTATTGAAATCTTGCAATGGGTGCTGAGTATTTTAAAAATTGTATTGCTTTTTGTAAAGATAATAGATTTTTGTCAAATTGGTCACTTGACAGAAAATATATTTCCTTAGTTCTTAACATGCCAATTATATGAAACTAAAATACTAAAAAGTAGAGCTACTCATATTTAAAAGTTTAAATTTGTCATACAAATACATTTAGTATACCATATGTCTTGGGAGCTCTCTCCTAAATACCAACTGATTAAAATATAAACTTCATATTTCATTATATAGAATGTTTTAATCTAAAATATTGAACCTACATGGCAAGGAACAGAACAAAACTTTCTTTAAAAAGCAGAACCAGGGGATTCCCACAGTGAACAGGAACCAGTGGTACAGTGGATAGGAATCAACTTGCCAATGCAGGAGACATGGGTTTGATCCCTGGTCTGGGAAGATTCTACCTACTGTGGAGCAGCTAAGCCCGTGTGCCACAGCTACTGAGCCCAAGCTCTAGAGCCCAGGAGTTACAACTACTGAGCTCACGTGCTGCAACTGCTGAAGCCATGCACCCTGGAGTCTGTGCTCCACAACAAGAGTGGCCACCAAAATGAGAAGCCCATGCACTGCAACAGAGAGTAACCCCCGATCACCAAAACTAGAGAAGGCTGGTGCGCAACAACAAAGACCCAGCACAACCAAATTCAAACAAACAAAAAAACAGAACCCAGGAACACTGCCTTGGCTCGCTAGTAGTTGGGTCTCTGCACTTCCACCACAAGGGGCGTAGGTTTGATCCCTGGCTAGGGAACTAAGATCCCGTATGCTGCATGGCACAAGCAGGACAATATTAAAAATAAATAAACAAATATACTACAAATACACTACTATCTATCTGAATTTCCGTTCCTAGATTTAGGTAGGAAATCCAAAGAAATCACGTTATTCAAATCTATTTGTTCTTGAGTGCCAACTAATAGTAGGAGTTTAGATAGAGGATGAGATGGTTGGATGGCATCACCACCAACTCAATGGACATGAGTTTGAGCAAGCTCCGGGAGTTGGTGATGGACAGGGAAGCCTGGTATGCTGCAGTCCATAGGGTTGCAAAGAGTTGGACATGACTGAGTGACTGAACTGAACTGAGACAAAAGAAATTATCCAACAATTTTCTTGAATATCAAGTTCCTGAGTTTGGATAGCAAGGTTTGCCTTGAGTGTTATTCTCCACATATATGCATAAAAATGTTATAATTATTCAGATGTATCATCTGTCAGAAACTGTGCATCATATAGCACTTCTTTCTCTTCCCTCATCCCTAAAACCCAATCAAGTCCTGAAAAGTTGTATCTCCTAAAGTGAAAGTCACTCAGTTGTGTCTGACTCTTTGTGACCCCTTGGACTATACAGTCCATAGAATTCTCCAGGCCGGAATACTGGAGTGGGTAATCTTTCCCTTCTGCAGATGATCCTCCCAACCCAGGGATCGAACCCGGGTCTCCCACATTGTGAGCGGATTCTTTACCAGCTGAGCCACAAGGGAAGCCCAAGCCACAAGGGAAGCCCAAGGATACTGGAGTGGGTAGCTTATCCCTTCTTTAGCAGAGCTTCCTGACCCAGGAATTGAACTGGGGTTTCCTGCATTGCAGGTGGATTCTTTACTAACTGACCTATCAAGGAAGTCCTGTATCTCCTAACTGAAATCTATTTCCCTCCATCATTCTCACTCAATCCAACAATTGTCTTAATGGTCACCATGTATATCAAGTCTCTTTGGTTCATTCTTTCCAGAAAAAAAAAAACAGAAAAAATATTCTAGACATTGTATTCATGCCACTGTCCCATTTAACACCCTTCAGTGGTTCATCATTGTCCTTAGGATCAAAGCCTGTGTCTCCAGGGCTTCATCTCTCATCTTTTCCTGCTACTCTGACTATTCCAGGTGCATCAAAGTATTACACTTGCCTTTCCATGAGAGATTCAAATCCTATCTCCAGGCTTTCTTTATTCTGTCTCCACCTTCCTACAATAATGTCATCCCTTTCCTATGAATAGCCTCTACTTCAGCTCTATACCTCAAATGTTACTTTCTGTGGAGAGGCATCTCCTGATCTCCCCTCCTCTCAGCTGAAGGGTAGATTAGGGGTCCATTCTCTGAATTTCCATCGGAATTCATGCTCCCCACTGCACAGCAGTCTATTTTGTGAAGTATCTTACCTCTACCCCCTAAACTCTAGGAGTGTAGCCACTATCCCTAGTTCTTAGCACAGGACTGACACACAGTAAGTATACGCTCATAAATCCTGCTGCATGGATGAATTAACATTTCCAGTAAAATCACTATAACCTGCTTCACAAACTCAAGTACCTATGTATTTGCAAAGCTTTTGTTTTTTCCAAACAACTGCTTAATCACCCAAAGCCCTTTTCGCAAGATGCCCATTATATCCCACCTGGCTCCCCCATAGATTGCCCAGATATGACAAGCAGTGACTTATGCAGATTATAGTGGGATCTGTTCTCTTCTTAATTATAGCCTGAAAAATTGGCTAATGCCATAGTTTCTCATCTCACACTGTCACTTTTGGAAAGCTGTCCCCCTTGATCCAAAAGGCAGTGCCTGTCCACTGCTTGTAGATGAGGCCCTTGTAGGTCTCTATTCTTGCTATGAGGCTCAACAAGGAAGACAAGCTTAGTTTGTTTGCCAAGGATGTTCCACATTTGGCCTCCCAAGGGCCCACTCTTCACAATCAACCTGAGCAGGTCACACACAGTCACAGGAGGGCTGGGTCAGGATGATCCAATGGGCAGCAGGTCCAGAACCACCATTTCTCCCTTTCTCTACAGCAAGCACCACTTCCCAAAAAATGAGGCAGTTTAAAAAAATTTTTTATAGTAAAACACAGAAAGTCCTGCTATGCCTTTCTCCCAGGACATTCAGAGCTCCTTACTGCTTGCCTATCCTAAGTAAAGCTTCCCTCTGACATTCTCTACCCTAACCTGTACTGTGAAAGGAAAAAACACAAATTTGATCTTTTGCAGAGTACTTTTCTGGTCAGGCATCCTGTCATGTCAAGAAAGAAGACACAGGCACAGAAAGATACTGAAAAAGTTGAAATTTGAAAATTTAAGTCTATCTTCCAACTAGTTGGTCTAATGATTTAGCCTCTTTAGACCTCAATTTTTATCATCTGAAAAAGCAGGAGACACTTACATCCTTCCCAGCTTTTTAGAATTCTATAATTTCAACATTTTAAAAATCAATTTAGTTGAAATATAATTTACATATACTAAAAAGCATTTAAAGGATACATTTCAAGTGTTTAACAAATTTATACTATAATCAAGTTATAGACCATTTCTATCACGCCAAAATGGAATTTCCATTTCCATCATAGTTCCCCCTCATGCCCCTCTGCAGCAAATTCCCCTGAATGAGGCAACCACTGATCTGCTATCTGTTAACTGTAGATTCAATTTTTCCTATTTCCAGATTTCATCTAGATGGAATGTTACAATATATACTCTTTCTAGTTTATTTTTTAACATGGTAAGATATGTATAACAAAATAGGGGAATTCTTCATAAATTTGTGTTGTCTTTGCACAGATGTCATGCTAATCTTTCCTGTATAGTTCTAATTTTAGTATACATGGTGCCAAAGTGGGCACAGTATGTAAAACACAGTATGTAAAGACTTCTTTCATACCTGGGTTTGTTTTTTGTTTTTGCATGGTATAATATTTTTGTGATTTACTCCTGTTATTGCCTGTTCAAGGTATTTTAAATGTATTTTTAAAGCCAACAGTGTTTTTAGACCGGATACTTTTTTGAATACCACCATTCAAATGTTAAAAAGTTAAATTTGAATGATTTCTTGATTTCACATAGGATCTGTTTATTAGCAAAGAAAAGATTCCCGTGCTATTTATTTTCAGAATCAACTGCTTTCACAAGTGAAAATGTAATGGTGGCCCATATAAGGATGGGATCAGAGCAGGGCAACAGGGATAACACTGTGGCAGCAGGTCATCACAACCCATTGTGAGGAGAGCATTGGAGAGAGTGGTGGGGGCAGCATGGGGGTGGTTAGGAGATTGGCTCATATGGGTGATTCAATATATGAGAAAATATATTTCAGATAATGGTAGCCAGATTGATCACCAACTGAGAAGGAAGAAACAAAAACAAAAAGGGAAAATGTGAGATGAATCCTGCAGTACTGAAATGAGTTTGGCATTACCAGTGTGAATTAATAGTTTATAATACAGGTGAATAGTTACAGAAATAAATATGAAAGTAAGGTATATATTTCCTAGCTCTGATCACAGAGTGGGCGCAGAAACAGAAATATCCCAGTAGAAATGAACACATCTAGGACTCAGATGTTGGTTTCTAAATACCACTCATCACTAAAAGGAACCAGTCTTCCTTGAAGACTCTGGCTCCAGAGTGGAACAGGGAAAACACAAGTTGACCTTGGAACATCGTATTGTGCTGAGAAGATGGAAGTCCTAAAAATAAATGATGGGGAGATGTCAAGAGGAAACAGGATCCAGCTTGAAGGGGCTCTGGCTGGTCAAGTCTGGGATAATTTGAGCATCAAACTGATATTTATAGAACTCACTGAGTTAAATAGGATGCATGCTATAAACAAATGGATCAGATATGTGGATAAGAAACAGCTTTTTCTTATAGTAAGAGAGAAATAGAAAAATACCATTTGGCAACTATCATAGTAGTAGTAGACTGAAGGAAGAATAATCAGGGGGTTCCAATACTAATTGATAAACATATGATGAGTAACTAGATATTAGTGTCAAAGTATTTCCACATAAAATACTTCTAATTACAAAGAAGAAAAATAACTTCATAATGGAGATTAGAAGATACGATCTTACTCAAATGATCAAATTTAATAGAACCAACAAAGTACAAATTGTCATTGAGCCACTCAATAGGATATGAGGGTTTACAGAACAAATCCAAATCAAGGACAGTCTATAAAATTCCTTTGCTTTATAATCTTCAAAAATGTCAAGGGCATGAAACTCAAAGACTCAGGGATTGTCCCAGGTTGAGAGTGTGATGAGACATGACAACTAAGTACAAGGCATGAATCTAGACTGGATCCTTTATAGGTAATATAGAAAATATAATTGGGACGATTCACGAAACTTGAATGTGGTCTCTGGGTGTATATGGGAATTGTCTGTGCTAATTTTTTTTTAACCTTTCTGTAAGTTCTGAATTATTTAAAAATAAACTTTTACAAAGATTAAATCAGTTGGTTTCAGAAATCATTTTTTACATTTACTATCTTGGCCAGAATTCCTTAGAACTATTTTTTTTTTCATTTTATGTGTATGTGTGGGTGTGTGAAGAATGATTTGGGATCTGTTAGGATGTATTTGCTTGCAAGTAACAGGAAATCTAACTCAACTATCTAAAACAAACAAACAAAAAAAATCATGTTCTCACAAAATGTCCTGAAGTAGTTTAGCCAAAAACTTTCATTAAATTGAAGTCCATTTTTCAGTGTAGCAACTTTGTCCTATTTTGGCTGTCTTCATGATTGCAATACGGTTTCAGCAATTCCAGGCTTCATGTTATGACGTTACAAAATCCTGAGGTCTGAAAGGGAAGTAGAGTGCATCCCTTACTCACACCTATTTTTAAATAGCAGAGAAAATGTCCCAGAAATGCTTCAACAGACTTTCCCTCACCTCTCATTATCCACAATCACATCCTTATTCTTAAATGAATCACTGGCAAGCAAAGTTGAATCACCATTACTAGCCTGGACAAATCAAAATTCATCTTCTGGGGCTAGCGAAGGGTAAGGGTTGGCTTCCCTTATAATCATCTTACCACTTAACACTTGAGAAAATCTGGAATTCTACTAGCAAAGAAGGAAGGGAATGGCTGCTGGGTAAGCAACCCAACATTATCTGCCATACAATGCTTCTTAATTTGATTGAATAATCTTTAAAGATTTCTCTAGTGATCTCTCTTTTCCAGTTTTCTCACCTTCTGAGATGGCCCACAGTCTGTCTGTGGGGTATATATCTCTCTAAATAAATTTTTCACTTTATGATGGCCTGCTCTTGAATTCTTTTCTGCACAAAGTCAAGAACCCTCACTCGGTGGCTGATCCCAGGGACTCATTCAAGACCCCAGGACATGACCATCCTCTCATGTCCCATTTTTTCCTTCAATATAATGATTTCCAAATAAAGTTTTTTTTTTTAATCAAAACTGTGTAAAGAGTTATGCTCAGAGAAGCCTAGCTTTTCCTAACCTCTCCACCTTATTCCTGCTCCCCATAGATAATTAGTTTTGTCACTTTTTTGGTTGATGTCTTCTGTTTCTTTTTGCAAAAATAAACGTATTTATTGTTGAACTAATATGGACATATTGTTAAGTAAAACTGAATATATTGTTTAAAAATAGTCTGTGGATTTCTTATTTCTATTTCCTAAACAAAAGACTCTTACTCTATACATTTCTTGCTTCTCTGCTCAATACACCCACATCAATTCACAGAAATAGGGCTTCCCTGGTAGCTCAGTGGTGAGTAGTCCACCTGCCAATGCAGGGGACATGGGTTTGATACCTGATCTGGGAGGATCCTAGATGCCTCGGAGCAACTAAGCCCATGAACCACAACTATTGAGCCTGTGCTCTAGAGCCCAGGAGCTCTACTGAGGCCATGTGCCACAACTACTGAAGCACTCACAACCTGGAGCCCATGCTCCACAGAGAAGCCATTGCTATGAGATGCCTGTGCATTGCAACTAGAGAGTAGTCCCTGCTCACTGCACTAGAGAAAAAATAAGGAAAAATAAAAGCCTGTATAGCAATGAAAATCAAGCACAGCCAAAAATAAATAAAAACATTTAAAAATTCATAGAAATAATCTTTGTCCTTGTTCTTGGTAATGGCTAGTCAGTACTCTAATGTGTTGAAAGTGAAAATCACTCCGTGTCCGACTTTTTGTGACCCCAAGGACTATACAGTCCATGGACTTCTCCAGGCCAGAATACTGGCGAGGATATCTCTAATGTGCTGGTGCCCTATTATTCAACTGGTTTCCTGCTGATGGACATTTGAGTTGTTTTCACATTATGCTATTGTGTATTAATAGTGCTATAATGACTAATATTACTTTTGTATCATTTCACATTTGTCAGGATGTAATTTCATACTAATTTCTTAGAAGTGGCATGGTTGGTTTAGTCGCTAAGTCATGTACAACTCTTGAGACCCCATGGACTGCAGCCTGCCAGGCTCCTCTGTCGATGGGATTCTCCAGGCAAAAATACTGGAATGGGTTGCCATTTCCTTCTCCAAGGGATCTTCCCGACTCAGGAGTTGAACCCAGGTCCCTCCCATTGCGGGCAGATTCTTAACCGACTGAGCTATGAAGGAAGCCCAGACGTGGCATTGCTGGGTCAAAGGACAAATGCACATGTATATTTGCTAGACATTGCCAAATTCCTCTCCTTAAGGTAGCACCATTTTATTCTTTTCAACTTTGGGGAGGTCATTTTGAAAGTTGAGAATTGGTACTTCAGTGTAGTTTTAATCTGCATTTCTCCTATAATATACTCAGCACCTTTTGTTTGTTTGAAAGCCATTCATATATCATTTTCTGTGAACTGTCTATCCAATATTTTGCTCTTTTTTCATGAGTTCTTGTCTTTTATCTTTTTCATCTTGATTTTTAAATAAGTATTATATATTAGTGAGATTAGCCCTATATAATAAAACATTTAATATTTTCTCCAAGTTGCAAACTTTCCTGACTTATTTATTCATTTTCTTTATGCCATGACGTTATTTTAAAAATAGTTGCCAGCCTTTTCTTTATTGCTTTCCCCACTCTCAGATTATAGAGGAATTCATACACTTTTTTTCTACTTTTTTAATTTAATTATTTACAGATAGCCCTCTGATATTTTGAGATTCTATTCTATTATATGATCAGGCACAGTGCAAATCTGTCATTTTCAAAATATTCAATTGTCCCAATGCTTAATTTATTAAAAGTCCATCTCTCCCAGTAGGTTTGAGATGCCACCTTTGTCATATACTCAAATTCTTAATTTTCTTGAGTCTATTTCTGGATTCTAGTAGATCCACACCCAGTTTTAGTTGTAGAGACTTCATAGAGTGCTTTCACATCTGATAGGGCCAGTCTAATTCTGCACACTACATTCCATTTCATTTTCAAGATTTTCCTAGCTCTTCCTGCATATTTTTTTCCATATAAACTTTATTATCAATTCATCTAGTTCCATGAAAAACATGGTATTTTTATTGTAATTACACTAAATTTGTATATTATTGGGGGAAAATGAACAACTTTATAATATTGTAAACCTATTCATGAACAAAGGCTGCTTTTGTACATGTTCAAGTAAAACACAAACATTAATGAAATAGAAAACAAAAATACAATAGACAGAATTGCAGTTTAACAGGAAATGATCAGTCCATACTGATGATTATTCTTCAACAGAGCTTTTATAAGTATAGTATTATCACAGGATATAATCAGGTTACATTTACCTCTGTTCAGGCCCTCTCTATCTCTACAATGTACAGTATAATACAGAAAATATGGGTTTTACTATGCCACATATTATACAAGTTTATGGAATGTTAGTGGTGCAGTGGTAATGAATCTGCCTGCCAATGCAGGAGACACAGGAGATGAGGTTTCCATTCCTGGGTTGGGAAGATCCCCTGGAGGAGAAAATGGCAACCCACTCCAATATCCTCGCCAAGAAAATTCCATGGACAGAGGAACCTGGCAGTTTACAGTCCATTGGGTTGCAAAGAGTCAGACATGACTGAACGACTAAGCACACACCCACAAAGGATTTTGCAATATACATCATTTCTCTAAACTAAAAAAAAGTGGGGGGGGGTGGAAATAGTTTGTTAGCTTGCTAGCTAGCTGAGTTTTGACAAGAATCTTTTATAAACTGCTTTGCAAATTTGGGAAATTGTATATATTTACAAAGCAACTGTATAGTCTTGCCAGCTGGGCTCTTGAAAAATGCTCTCTGTAGTAAATTTTTTTAAATTTCATCATCTAGGAATGAGAAAACTTATTTTCACATTTGTGGTCTATAACTAACCTCATGCATTTCATAAGGGTCAGTATTGATCTGCAAACATTTTGGTTTGTGGGGGTGGGATTGAGGGTGAGAGAGAATGGGTCATAATCTTAAATTTCTCCATCAAATGGCTTTTTTTTTTTCCTAAAAGCTGGTTCTTTGAAAACCTGATAGAATATATTAGTCTCTGACAAGATTAAGGAAGAGAATTGGGCTGGGGTTCGCATTCTTCCCGCGGCCGCGCGCCAGGGGGGAGGCCAGCGGGCAGGCGGCCTTCACCCTGCCTGGCACGTGCAGAGACCCCAGCCCCTCTGTGTGGGCAGGGTGCTGTCAAGACCAGACCTCGGGGGGCAGGGGGTGGGGGGCTCTTGGAAGGGAAGAAGTATCACTTCTTTCTCAAGTGGAGTGTTTACACCTTGCGGTAACATTTGAACTTTCACAAGAGATGTAATAATTTTGATAATAAAATTCTTAACCATAAAAAAAAAAAAAAAAAGATTAAGGAAGAGAATGACTTCCCTGACAGTCCAGTGGTTAAGACTTCAGGTGGTGAATTGAAAGATTCCTGGTTAGGGAGCTAAGATCTCACATGCCTCGGGGCCAAAAAAACCAAAACATAGAATATTGTAACAAATTCAATAAAGACTTTAAAAAATGGTCTTACATCAGAAAAATCTTAAAAAAAAAAAAGAGGGCAACAGGAAATGCTAATTAGAAATGAAATTTACGGGACTTCCCTGGTGGTTCAGAGATTAAGAACCCACCTTGGAATGCAGAGGACATGGGTCCAATCCCTGGTTCAGGAAGATCCCACATGCTGTGGGGTAGCTAAGCCCAAGGACCACTGAGCCCACAGTCCTTAGAGCCTGTGCTCTGCAACAAGAGAAGCCACCACAATGAGGAGCCTATGCCTCTCAACTAGAGAACAGGCCCCACTCACCGTAACTAGAGAAAGCCTGTGAGCACCAATGAAGATCCAGTGTAGCCAAAAACAAATATTTTTAAAAATTAAAAAAAAAAAGAAATTTGTGGAAAAACAGGTGAGGCCATGTGATTGTGTTCAACGCAACAGAATTTGAGGCAAAGTGATGTGAGCCACTACCAGGCCTGCCCACACGTGATCATCTCTATCCCTGTCCTCTGATAAGCATGGCTACTTGAAAGTCTGTTTTAAAAAGTGTTGTCAGAAGATAGTAAGAGCCTGGTTCCTCAAATTATCAATTCAGGAAGCTGTCTGCTAATGAAGAATATGTATTTGAAATTTACTCAAATGACATGTAAACTTCTATTGTACTTGAGCCCTTTGAGGGGTTTGCAGTTAGAATTACCTTAAACCAGGATTCAGTGTGCAAAAAATTCAGCATCTCAAACTAGTGGGGGAAGAATTCTAATATGTGTATTTATCGTCAGCACAGCACGGAAACTGGGTAACCATCTGAAAGAAACACAAAGTTGCATCCACACTTCACATATTATACCATGAAAACTTGCAAATGGGAAAAATAAAATCATACACATTCTACAAGGAAACATGAATTTCTTTATAGCCTTTAAATGTGAAAGACCTTTCTACACATGACTCAGAATCTAAAGTCATGAAAGATTAAATTGTTAAACTTGAGAAGCTTAATGTAAAAACTCTCTAAAGGACCAAAATACATGATTCACCAAGTAAAAGGAAAAATGATGGATAGAAAACTTCTTCACTTTGTTCTCTCAGCCCTAAGGATGGTGGTTGTACCTACAAATACTCTTGTACGTCAATGTCCTCTTTTCATTTTTTAAATTCTCCATTGCCTGCTTTCTAGTATTGACACCCATCTATTAAAACACCTGGGCTTCCCTGGAAGCTCTTCTGGTAAAGAATCTGCCTGCAAAGTGGGAGACTCTGGTTTAATTCCTGGACCGGGAAGATCCCTTGGAGAAAGGAAAGGCTACCCACTCCAGTATTCTTGGGCTTCCCTGGTGGTTCAGCTGGTAAAGAATCTGCCTGAAATGCAGGAGACCTGGGTTCGATCCCTAGCTTGGGAAGATTCTGCTGAAGGAAGGCATGGCAACCCACTCCTGTATTCTTGCCTGAAGAATCCCCATGGACAGAGGAGCCTGGAGGGCTACAGTCTATGAACTTGCAAAGAGTCGAACATGACTGAACAACACAGTACAGCACAGCACAACATTAACACACCTAATATGGTTTCTATTTGCTGACATACAATCGTTTTATAGCCTTTAATTTTTAAACCATGTAAACTACCTTTAAAAATAAGAAAGAAATAGAACAAGGTGGCTGGACTTAATCAGATACAAAGGTCTTTATAAAGCCATAGTAAATTAAGACAGTGTAGTTCTAGCACAGGATTAGACAAAGACCAATGGAAAAAAGTAGGATCCTGGAAAAGCTTATACATATTCAGAAACATGACACTATATGACAGGCAGCATTATAAATTAAAAGTGAGGCTGAGCTATGGAAAACAGTGTGGAGATTTCTTAAAAAACTGGAAATAGAACTGCCATATGACCCAGCAATCCCACTTCTGGGCATACACACCAAGGAAACCAGATCTGAAAGAGACATGTGCACCCCAATGTTCATCGCAGCACTGTTTATCATAGCCAGGACATGGAAGCAACCTAGATGCCCATCAGCAGACGAATGGATAAGGAAGCTGTGGTACATATACACCATGGAATATTACTCAGCCATTAAAAAGAATTCATTTGAATCAGTTCTAATGAGATGGATGAAACTGGAGCCCATTATACAGAGTGAAGTAAGCCAGAAAGATAAAGACCATTACAGTATACTAACACATATATATGGACTTTAGAAAGATGGTAACGATAACCCTATATGCAAAACAGAAAAAGAGACACAGATGTATAGAACAGACTTTTGGACTCTGTGGGAGAAGGTGAGGGTGGGATGTTTCAAGAGAACAGCATCGAAACATGTGTATTGTCTAGGGTGAAACAGATCACCAGCCCAGGTTAGATGCATGAGACAAGTGCTCGGACCTGGTGCACTGGGAAGAACCAGAGGGATCAGGCGGAGAGGGAGGTGGGAGGGGGGATCGGGATGGGGAACACATGTAAATCCATGGCTGATTCATGTCAATGTATGACAAAACCCACTACAATATTGTAAAGTAATTAGCCTCCAACTAATAAAAAAAAAAGAAAGAAAGAAATGAGAAAGAAATGAAGGCGACTATAGCAAAAATCAACAAACTAAAAGCTGGTTCTTTGAGAAGATAAATAAAATAGACAAATTGTTAGCCAGACTCATCAAGACAAAAAGAGAGAAGAATCAAATCAATAAAATTAGAAATGAAAATGGAGAAATCACAATAGACAACACAGAAATACAAAAGATCATAGACTACTATGAGAAATTATATGTCAATAAAATGGACCACTTGAAAGAAATGGATAAATTCTTAGAAAAGGATAACCTTCCAAAACTGAACCAAGAAGAAGTAGAAAATCTTAATAGACCCATCATAGGCACGGAAATTGAAACTGTAATAAAAAAATCTTCCAACAAACAAAAGCCCTGGACCAGATGGCTTCACAGGTGAATCCTACCAAAAATGTAGAGAAAAGCTAACACCTATACTACTCAAACTCTTCCAGAAAACTGAAGAGGAAGTTAAACTCCCAAACTCATTCTGAGGCCACCATTACCCTGATACCAAAACCAAAGATACCGCAAAGAAAGAAAATTACAGGCCAATATCACTGATGAACACAGATGCAAAAATCCTCAACAAAATTCTAGGAAACAGAATCCAACAACATATTAAAAAGATCATACATCATGACCAAGTGGGCTTTATCCCAGGGATGCAAGGATTCTTCGATATTTGCAAATCAGTCAATGTGATACACCATATTAACAAATTGAAAGATAAAAACCAGATGATTATCTCAAGAGATGCAGAGAAAGCCTTTGACAAAATTCAATATCTATTTATGATCAAAACTCTCCAGAAAGCAAAACCATATACAACAAACCCACAGCAAACATTATCCTCAATGGTGAAAAATTGAAAGCATTTCCTCTAAAATCAGGAACAAGACAAGTGTGCCCACTCTCACCACTACTATTCAACATAGTTTTGGGAGTCCTAGCCACAGCAATCAGAGAAGAAAAAGAAATAAAAGGAATCCAAACTGGAAAAGAAGAAGTAAAACTCTGTTTGCAGAAGACATGATCCTCTACATAGAAAATCCTAAAGACACCACCAGAAACTTACTACAGCTAATCAATGAATATAGTAAAGTTGCAGGATATAAAATTAATATGCAGAAATCCCTTGCATTCCTATGCACTAACAATGAAAAAACAGAGAAACTAAGGAAACAATCCCATTCACCACTGCAACAAAAAGAACGAAATACATAGGAATAAATTTACCTAAAGAAACAAAAGACTTGTATATAGAAAATGATTATAAAACACTGATGAAAGAAATCAAAGATGATACAAAGAGATGGAGAAATATGCCATGCTCATGGATTGGAAGAATCAATATAGTGAAAATGAGTATACTACCCAAAGCAATCTATAGATTCAATGCAATCCCCATCAAACTAGCAATGGTATTTTTCACAGAACTAGAACAAATAATTTCACAATTTGTATGAAAACACAAAAAGCCTTGAATAGCCAAAGCAATCTTGAGAAAGAAGAATGGAACTGGAGCAATCAACCTGCTTGACTTCAGACTATACCACAAAGCTACAGTCATCAAGACAGTATGGTACTGGCACAAAGACAGAAATACAGATCAATGGAACAAAACAGAAAGCCCAGAGATAAATCCATGCACCTATGGACACCTTATCTTTAACAAAGGAGACAAAAATATACAATGAAGAAAAGACAAGCTCTTTATTAACAAGTGGCGCTGGGAAAACTGGTCAATTGCCTGTAAAAGAATGAAACTAGAACACCATCTAACACCATACACAAAAATAAACTTAAAATGGATTAAAGATCTAAATGTAAGATCAGAAACTATAAAACTCTTAGAGGAAAACATAGGCAGAACACTCTCTGACATAAATCACAGCAAGACCTACTCCATTATCCACCTCCAAGAGTGATGGAAATAAAAGCAAAAATAAACAAATGTGACCTAATTAAACTTAAAAGCTTTTGCACAACGAAGGAAACCATAGGCAAGGTGAAAAGGCAGCCTTCAGAGTGGGAGAAAATAATATAAAATGAAACAACTGACAAAGAATTAATCTCCAAAATATATAAGCAGCTCATGCAGCTCAATACCAGAAAAATGAGCAACCCAATCAAAAAGTGGGTCAAAGAATTAAACAGACATTTCTCCAAAGAAGACATACAGATGGCTAGCAAACACATGAAAAGATGTTCAACATTACTCATCATCAGAGAAATGCAAATCAAAACCACACTGAGGTACCATTTCACGCTGGTGAGATGGCTGTCATCAAAAAGTCTATAAGCAATAAATGCTGGAGAGGGTGTGGAGAAAAGGGAACCCTCTTACACTGTTAGTAGGAAAGCAAACTGTTATAGCCCCGGTGGAGAACAGTGTGGAGATTCCTTAAAAAAACTGGAAATATAACTGCCATACAACCCAGCAATCCCACTGCTGGGCAATCACACCGAGGAAACCAGAATTGAAAGAAACACAAATACCCCAATGTTCATTGCAGCACTGTTACCTAGATGTCCATTGGCAGATGAATGGATAAGATATTGTGGTACATACACACAATGGAATATCACTCAAAGTTATAAAAAAAGAAGCATTTGAGTCAGTTCTAATGGGGTGGATGAAACTGGAGCCTATTATACAGAATAAAGTAAGGTAGAAAGAGAAACACCAATACAGTACATTAACACATACATATGGAATTTAGAAAGATGGTAATGATGACTCTGTATGTAAGACAGCAAAAGAGACACAGATGTAAAGAACAGACTTTTGGACTCTGTGGGAGAAGGCAAGGGTGGGATGATTTGACAGAACATCATTGAAACATGTACATTACCATATGTAAAACAGATGACCAGTGCAAGTTTGATTCATGAAGCAGGGCACCCAAATCTGATGCTCTGGGACAACTCAGAGGGATGGGGTGGGTAGGGAGGGGGGAGGGGGGTTCAGCGTGGGGGGACATACACACCTGTGGCTGATTCATGTTGATGTAGGGCAAAAACCACAATATTGTAGAGTAATCAGCCTCCAATTAAAATAAATAAATTTAAAAAATACTAACTTAGGACTTCCCTGGTGGTCCAATGGTTAAGAAGCCACCTGCCAATGCAAGGGACGCAGGTTCGACTCCTTGTCTGGGAAGATTCCACATGCGTCATAGCAACTAAGCCCATGTGTCACAGCTACTGAGCCCACGTGCCCTTAAAGCCTGTGCTCTGCAATGAGAAGC